AAATAAATCAATAGGTTTCAGTTAAATTATTTTATATCAAACAGTCTATACTTAACAATAACCGGTTTTTAAAAAAAATATATACAGGGTGTCCCAGAAATGAGTGCAAATATTTTAATTGGTAGTATAGTTCAACCCCAGAAACACGCCTATGAGGTTTTTTTTGCGAAAAAAAATGTTGAAAATTTTATATTTTTCTTGACATTTTCCGGAAAAGTTTGAAAAACTTTTGAGTGCCACTGTTCACTCTCCGGAAATTCGTTTACCGTGCATATAGAGAATCTCGGAGAGAATGCAATGTTGCCACTTCCTACCATACCAACATTCTAAATGTTTATAAATTCACAGTAATAATTTTAATGGGCTACAACATAGTGGTAATCAGAATCATAATTTTTGTCTTAAGCATAAGCCCAGTCACAATCACAATTTAAATATGCGTTTATACAACATAGTCGCATTCATAACTTGGAATGTAAATACAGTTGATAAAGTAACCTAATTTTCTTATTTTTCTATTTCATCATTTTAGAGTGTATTTTTGTTTAAATTGTATTACTCAGGTTTTTTAAACACGAAAATTATCATAATAATTAAACATTAAAATAAAAAATAAATAAATAATGCCCCCTAACCGATTTTTGTCGTAATCACAATCAAAAAAGTTAAAATTTACGAACTTCAAGGTTATTAAATTATGCTTATGATTGCGACTGCGATGTATAAACGGTCGTATCTAAAATAATGGTTTTAACTTTTATGATTGTGACTAAAATTGTGATTATGATTACGATTATGTTGTATAAACCCGCCATAAGTTTCTATAGAAAAATACGAAAACTAAATTTATTCATATTAGTGGGCATTGCTATACAAATTTTAGGAAAACGCTCAATGTTTTAAATAATTTTTACAGTTGAGTAGGCTGAAAAAATAAATTATTAGAGCTTCTTTTTTCGCCATATTAGGAATTTTTTTCAATCGTTTCAATCAACAATTATAATCTTTAAATATTAAGTTAGAGCTTACCCTTTTGATGAAAATTGATCAGTATTTTTATCCAACATATACCATTACACATACACCCCAAATATCTAATAATCTGAACATCACAAATCTATCACTTGCAAAATATTATTTAAAATGTTTCACATAATAATTAAACACTACACTCACAAATACAACAAAAAGTGTTAAAAAACTTGCTTTAATAACAACTGAAAACCTCTACCAACCTTTACTGAACTCTCCCACAAAAGAAAATTAATGATTTTACACCAAAAGTGCCAAAAATTTACGCGATACACGCACGATACACGAATACACGTACAACATACGTTGATTTTGGTTTGTTTATATTCTTTAAATGATTTTGGGAACCCCCGAGGAATCGTAAATACCGTTAAGACCAGTAGGGCCCTCTACCGCTCCCGTCTAATACGACTTGCCTTGCGCGCCACAGTGCCGATTGTCCGTTCACAAAAAAAAGCTTAATCCGTTATTCTATAGATGTCGCTGCTTAATTGATTTGAGTTTAATTTTGGTTAATAAATAAGATGATCAGCACGTTCGACTATCAGAAATCGATCTAATAGTATCGAGCTTTTAAAACTCCAGAAAGATATCGGAGATTGTGTTTAAAATGTTCGTTAGTGCATATTTTTGTGTCGGTAATCGGTATCGGTATCGGTAAATCGCGATGGCCTATACAAATCCGAAGAAGGTGGAAGCTAAGAGGCTTTATTCCGAAGAGTATTCGAATAGACAGATTACGAATGCTCGAACCTTTGTGAGTATATTGAAAGTAAAAGAATTTCGGACTTCCATTGTCTTTATTTATTTTGATTAACCCAACATTTCGGTCAGAAGGATCACTTACCGTTATCAAGTGTAAACTCTGTGAGCTGTGAGTATGTTTCAGCATTTGAGGGATTTTGGAAGTTTGGATCCTCAGGTGGCATCAAAGTTCAAGTGTTGTTAAGAACTGTAGTGAAGTTAAGAGTAGTGTTAAGGGCAGTTTTAGGACTGGTAAAATGGAAAAAAAAGAAAATTTTGCAATTATATCGATCTTCTATCGGGATATCCTTTTTTAATGTTTGGTAAGTTTTTTTTCTTTTAATTTAATCTGGGAAATGTGGGAAGTATGGCTACTGGCGATCATCCACTTAGTGTTATGGAATTTTGCAAGTAGTTTTTAAGACTTTCTAGTCGCGGCAACAGCGGGCGGCGAACAAGGATCCGGGAAATTGCCGATTTCCCCCGGCGGCTCTCAAAATGTGGCAATTTATTTTTAAAACTTTCAAACTTAAATAACTCGGTTATTTTCAATTTATTTTAAAAATGGTAAAGAGAAAATATGTTTCTTTTGACCAGATCTACCACCCCTTAAAATATTTGCACTCATTTCAGGGACACCCTGTATAATCAGGGTGCAAAAAAAATCATGATTTAAAATAATTTTAAAAATCGATTTTTTTTAATTTTAATCACATTTTTTGATTTTAACAGGATTTTTTTTTATTTTAATCAATTTTCTATTTAAAGCAGTACTCTCCTAAACGGCTAAATCTTTGTAACTCTGCCCGATATTGACAATATTAACATTTCTACGGCGGGTGTCGTAGTTATACGTATATCGAGAAACTATGGTTACGCTCGTTGAATTTGACACTATGTTGTAATATATTTCGTACTTTGTCCTTAGGCGTAAAAGTGCTTTACTTTTAAGCCTAGGCGTTATAATTACGTTGTCAATCATGTCGCAAAAATTACTTAATACTTTTGTGACGTTTGAAAAAAAAATACATTTACAACTTTCAAAACTTAAAACTTACGAAGTAAAACAATGAATTTGCACTGCTGAATTTATCGACGATTTTTTAAGTAACTAAATCTATTAAAACTAATATATTATTTTGCATTATTGTGACATTTCTTAATGGAACATTAAAATCCGGACGCTTATGAGAAATCCGCCCAGACCCAACCAGAAGTAGTGAAAATCCGGACGTGTCCGGATTAATCCGAACGTCTGGTAACCCTATTTTGAGGAGATCTATTCTAGAAAGAAATAAGTTAAAAAAAAATATGTCGTACCCATATAGAAACAAAGTTATGTGTGCTAACTTATGGCATACCTCTATCCAGGAAGTGTATGGAATCTAATAATTAACCTGGATTCTAAAATTTGATAAAGCATATACAAATGAAACTAGCGTTTACTTCCAACTCACGTTTAGAACACGTCTGCTTATAATCAAGACTATTTTTTTGATGTTCGAACCGACTGCAAACTCGATTTACACCCAAAATAATCTGCACACAAGCATACCGGTTGATTAGTATGCGACAGCACGCCTCGGCAAGTATTTTTGGCGAATACAAAACACGCGCGGCATGTAACAAAAGACCGTTTCGAAAAAAAATTGCAGCCGAAATTCGACATTTATAATTCTCTGTAACGCCAATATAAAAATGTTTTTCCTGGAATTATTTTTGACCCATGACGATTGAGTCATAAATAAGATTGAAAAATACATATGCACCGGATGTGGCTGCTTTTATGATTTAAAACGGTAAAAATAAGGCAATTGTCTGATATAAGCTTACTGGTGGTAATTTCGTGGCGCCAATGCCTTCTCTTTATTAGAGATTTAGACTTACTTGAGTGTTAAATGTGCTAACGAGGGCTATAAATAGGCTTTGACCGTCTTGTATTTCCTCTTTACCAAGCGCAACAACAAATATTAATTTTATTAAAAAATTGCTGTTATTTTAATGTTATTTATAGAGGTTGGTTTGGCAAGGAAGCAGAAAAAGTAAATAATAATAGTCAATAGTTCGTAGAACAATATGTCTAAAACTGTTTCAAAAGCTGTATTACCTTTATCCAGAATGTTTATGAGAAACTAGCCTGAGGAATAGTATAACAAAACAGAGAAGAGACGCTAACTAACTAAATACTTTTTAATCTGAATATTAAGGAACATATTCTTCTTCTAATGCATATCCGCTAATGGATGTTTGTAATAATATTTTCCATTGCTTCATTATTCCTTTCGATTATTTTTTTCGGACATTTAATTTTTTTGTCTGATGTCCAATTTTCGAAGAGCCTAATGTATAAGTTCTTATAAATGTATCTACTCTTTTTTTGAACCTTGTATTAAATGTTATATTGGAGTTTTCAATCGTATTTGGGTGCCTGGAGAGCCTTGATGTGTAAGCCCATTGCTTTGCTCTGTTCTCTTACCTTCTTAACCATTTCTTGAAGGTCTTGTATACAATTGCCGATTAAAAAAAAAATTTGGAATGACTCGTTAATTGAATGAGTTCTTTATGGAATGACTCGTTAATTAAAGTAGTTAGATGGATTAATGTGCATTCCGGAAGTTCGGAGAACATTTTGAGAGTAAGCCCATCAGTCCCAGATGAGGATTTGTTTTTAATACTTTTAATTGTACTACGGAACTCATCTAATGCTACGGGCGTGAAGAAGAAACTGGTGTAAATTCTCATTTGCTTTAGGGAGATATGAAAATGAATCATGAGAGTTATGATTTTCCTGCTTAGCATTAGCATTTCTTTTGCGGTTTTAGAGCTAGATCCTTGCCTGTGCCCCTGTCTGTTTCTCCAATGGACATTGTGCTTTTCCCTGATCCAGAGTTTTAGTGCACAACGGTTACAACGGGTTATACATTTTGGTATTCCCAGTACTGGCTCTGGACCAAGATTTGTACTGTCTGGTTTTAATAAATCAAGTCTTTTGAGGAGTTGCATTAATTTGAGGTGCTATTACGAAACTAGGGTTGTATAAAGAAAATTCTGCTTGTATTTCGTACGAAATTAGTACTTATTTATAACCGCATATTCTATTCATAGAAATATTTCTTTGATTTACAGAAAATTTGTAGAAAATTACACGTAACAATTTTTTTTAATTTTTATATACCTCGAAAATGTCTATGCACTGACCTAAAAAATTTTATCTTTTGTTCCAGCCAAGAATGAATTTTTGACGTGCATCCAGCCGTCTGGATACGCCGAAAAGGGTAAGAGTTCTGCAAAAATAGGGGAGAAAAAATAGGGAAGAAAGGGGAACAAGGACAAGGATGAGGCTAGTGGGGCCCTGGACGATAGTGGCGGTGTTGCCGCTTTTTTTGACGGAAGTGAGGAGTATCGAACCCTGTAAGTATATAATAAGTTTATTATTTTATCTCTAATCCAAACCAAAAAATATAATTAACTTTTCTTTAACTAAAAATGTTGATTCTCACTATATCTTCCGTATCCGCTACCTTCCGTTTACATAAAACATTATATTATGTAAATAAATAGAACAATGGACACTATCCGTTCCGTTTCCCTTCCGTTCCATATCCTTTCCTTACATACATTTTTTGGCGGACGAACTGAAGCGTATCGGAAACAGCATTGTCAAGTTCCTATATTTGTACCAGCTCTGTTAAAATTTTGCAGATATTTATTTATTCTTTCACCTCTTAATGTAAATCTATTACGTTTTTCAAAAGATACAAATTTTTAAAATAAAACTTTCGAAATGATAAAAAATAAATTGTACAATAAAAAGTATGGAACTGATACGAAACGGAAGCGTATAGCGTCAATACAATAAAAATACGGAACGGATATGGAATGGATATGGAATGGAAACGGAAGGTATAGAATCAACCTTTAGCAGTATTAGCACCATACAATCTGTGTTGAAATACGGCAACGCCGCTCAATATTGATATTTATGTACCTCTGCCAAATGTAAAGATAGGGGGAAAACTCACTCGAGATAAACTGGCCAATATTAATTTTTATGGGGCCATATGCTCTCCCGACTTGTTTATTAATAAATATAGATAATTGGCAATAAATGGCATTGTTAAATCAATTTCTGTCTTTCCCCGACTTTTGATTTCATTTCCAACACACAAGTAAGTGTTTTTTATGCAATACGAGGGTCTAAAGTGGTGCGGCGACTTTTTAAAAGGTTAGGAAAAATTATAAAAAAAGATGGTAAAAATTAAAAAGAAAACCGCAGCGTACGGCTGCTCTTCGTCTGGTGAACAATAGGTGTAGGTTCATTTAATTATTTTTGCATATTGTTGGGCACCACTTAATTTAAGCCAAGTTAAGGTGATATTTAAAAAATTAAGAAAATTACCACAGGCTAAAGATGTTCAGTAATGATATATCTCAAATTAAAACAACAAAATTTAATAAAAAACTATGTACATTTATTAATAATTAAATAACTCCAGTTTGAAAGTGAATTAAAAGGTCATTTAAAAAAACAATAACTTAATATTATATTGATATAGCGAAACTTAAATTAAATATTACTAAATATAAATCATCAAACGTAATCGTTTGTTTAAGTTTCATCAAAAAAGAGGTTTCAATATAAGGTAAGTTTCAGTAGAAAGTTAAGAAAAAGGCAAAAAGATTCTAAAGCAAAACGTAAGTGAGTACTTAGCTTTTGCTCTGAAGCTGTAGTCAATCAGTGCTGATTTGGTATCGTACTTGGGCTCATATCCATTACGTAACTGCTTCAAATCATCAGAAAACTTGGAAATTTGCGGAAAAAGGGAAAACTCGTCAATTTCACACCAGCCTCCAACAGGGAACCTTCACAAAACCATTCAGAAAAACCCAAAACTGCTCAAAATCTTCGGCTCAAAAAAAACTACTGCTAAATCTTCTTAAAAAAAACTCGTCCGAAAAATTACTCCAAAATATTACTCCAAAAAACTCCCAAAATGTCAAATCTTCCCCTTAAGTTGGTAAGGAACACACCTATAATAAATGATTTTTTCTCTAAGTATATGAAAGAAAGTAAAAGAAAAAACTATAACTTACTCGCAGGGCTATTCTCCGCCACATACAATGATACCAAAAAACTTTTCAAAAAGACGAGAACCACCCTGGGACTTGGTGATTCCAGTGGTTGAAATGGAAGTGTCGAAAAATCCGAATAAAATGTTAAAATTCTGTCAGAGATTATCTTTTGAAGACAAAAAATCAACACACACCAAACTGTGCTCGAAATAAGGAAACTTTAGGAAAGTTATTAATAACATTTAAAGAAAAATTTAAATAATAATATAAATGGCAACCCTGCGCCACCACATCGAACGGCATACACGGTACTACCAAAATTGCAGCGGTACCGACTAGGGATGGGCATTATTTGCTTAAATTCTGCTAGAGATGTAGCGCAAAAATAAGAAATTATTTTAGGCTGCTACATTGGTGATAGAACATCTTGTATCTTATGTAAAACACATATTTAAATTTTAACAGTTGAAGACATTTACACGTTTATGGAGAACCGGTGATAGATTTTGTTTTAAAAATTTGGATTTTTACATAAAGGCACCTGCTCCATCCATCTAAAATATTTTAGTTAGGTTAGGTTGCAGTGTTGCCGCTTCATACTAAAAGTGGTAGCATCTTTCTTATTTTAAATGGAACACCCGGTATATTATTACATTTTTGGAAACTACTTTCATATCACATAATTTTTCTATTATGCTAAAGTATACCTATCTCTAATAGCTTTTAAGATAAAAATAAAACATGTGTAAAATTGACAAAAACATGATCGTGAATAAGCATTGGTAAAATCATGAATTAAAAATTTGAAACCTTCCTATGCTAGTTTTGGACTTTGCCCAACACTGATTAAAATCTATTTAATAGAAAGTCAAATTAATAATTTTTCTCGTTAAATAAATAATAATAAATAACGCTTTATTGTACAAAAAGCCAAAATAGATTCATCGACAAAGCATTTACAAAACAAACAAAAGCACAAAAAATATACAATACAAATCAATTCAAAAAAATAAAAGTCATTGAAATTACAAATAAAAAAAGGAAAATTATAAATGGATATAATCATGTAAGAGTTATAAAATATTAAATATTAAATACTAAACTTTAACCAGTGTGTGAGATGATCAAAATTTTAAAATTCAAAATTGTTCATGATTAAACATCAACAGAAAAGTTGTTTACTTCATATAGGGCTCTCTCCAGTAAGTATGACTTCAGAGCTTTACGAAATGCGGGAAAGAATGAAAATGACTTGATATGCAAAGGCAGATGATTGTACATTTTTTTTGCATTGTACCGTATTGATAGCATTCCTAAGTGGATAGTTGTGAGATGGCCTTTCGGGAATAGCAGATATGTGCTTGCGGATTAAGCAGACGGATTCAAAAATGAATAAAGAAGGAAGAGCTAGTATTTTGAAATTTTTAGAGAAATTCTGGTAGTGAGTTCTACTGTTCAGTCTTAATAAATATCGAACTGCTCTCTTCTGAAGTTTGAAAATACGATCAAATTTTGTCGCGCAGCAAGTACCCCAGAATGGAAGGGCATAGTGAAGATTTATAAAAAAATATTCATAAATTTTTCCCATTCAATCGCGAGTATAACCATTTTATTCAGAATTAATCAGATAAAAACGAAATCAAACGCTTTTCCCGTTTTGTTAAATACAAAAATTAACTGAGCGACTGCCCTATGGAGTAGCCTCTTTAATTTTCCCCTTCGATTCCGTAGGGCAAAAAGTTGCCCTCATTCAGCACGACAAGCCAACTCGAAAACTTTTTAAATAAAAAGGTCCCTTTCATCGGAGCTTCGAAAAATCAAAGGATCGCTATACAATACAAAGGTATACGGAATGGTAATGAACTGTACTGCTCTTTGAATAGATGTTTTATCCCCACCCTTCGGTTTGGAATTGAGTTCAAAAAACACTGGAAATAAAAAAGTTAAAGAGCGGCAGTAATATACAACAATGGTACTTATTGCCAATTAGCTGTATAAACAAAAACGAGGGTGAGGTGGTATGACAATGAATAGGTTAATCTCCGTTTGAAGTCCAGGTAACTTTTGTTGTAACCAAAAAAAACTCGTTATACTTAGGAAAAACTAATACAGTAAAGATAACATTATTATTGCTTCCTTACAATTATTTATTAATACGTTACTTCTATTTTTTGCAGCTCAATGCATTGCTCCTCTTGGTATGGAAAGTGGAACCATTAAAGACGATGACATTAAAGCTAGTTCGTCATTCGATCATGGACACGTTGGACCCCATCGTGGAAGGTATGTATCTATCTATACAAGTGGCAGTATTGATACATGTATTTTCTAGTTTAATAAATCAAATATACCTCAAAATGGCTCAACCCTAAACCTTTTTTATTTTTTCATATTAAAAAAAGAGATTTGGTGTGTTAGTATATGACATTAATTAGGATTGATCAACTTATTTGTTTTAGGTCACTTCCTGTTTTACCGGAAATGAATACAAATTTTGATTTTTAAATCATACCCCCCGTATTTCTTACTTTATTTGATAGAAAATGGCACTCTCAATAGAATGACATATCATATGTCAACTTTTGAATCGTAAGAGGTCCTAAATGTAACGACAATTTTGACTCGAAATATGAAATGTGTCTATGTGTGGTATCAAATTATTCGTAAAAAATGAATTTTCCAAATATGCTAATGAGCCACCCTCGTTCCGTTTGAAAAAATTGAGATATGATTAAAAATATGATTTGGGCATCTTTTAACCGTCCAGGACAACATTAGACGATCAAAATTGTTTTTCCCATAAAACCATAGTTCCTTGATTAAAAATTAGTGTTTTAACACAGCCCTGACACTCTAACTAAAGTGTCAAAACGAATGACAATGTCTGGAAATTTGGATCGAATATACTTTGGTCGCGTTCATCAGGACAAGTTGATCAGTGAGCGATGTGCCATCGATTGGTTGTCCTGCTGAACGCGCTTTTTAGCATCCCTTAGTCAAGGAACTCTCTTTCCTTGTCTAAGAAGCATCATAACAACTTAACCTAACTTTATGTGTTTGTATTTTGTTTCAAAAATCCAAATCTATAGATTTTATATTTTGATTTTTGCACTTGTACTCTTCATGTACTTTTGTACATTAATTTGCTTTCAATTTCATCAATGAATCCTATCCAAGCAGCAGTGCTAATTGCTCAAGAAGTCACTCTAGATGTAAGTCTAATAATAGGACGAGCGGTTGATCTTCTTCAGCTAGTAGATCATCCATTTTTGGCACAAATCGAGGGGATTTTACTCAACCGAGAACAATAAACAAAATAGTTTGGTTTGGTTTTCCAAAACATTTTGTGACATTTGGCGTATGTGACGTTTAATCCATCATGCATCGGTAGCGTAGCGTATTTTAAATCTGATGGAAAAAATGGCGACTGATCCCAGAGCGCTCACAACTAATCGGCGCGTTCAGCAGAAAATTAGTGATCGCTGCAGAAGCGCTACGTCCTGATGAACGCGACCTTTGTCTTAATTAACAGTTTGGATAGTCCAAGTTTTAACTCAAAAATATTTCCATGAAAATATCAAATATATATACCAAGGCGGCGCGGCGTGAGGTTTCATATTTTGAAAGTACGTAACTAATTTTAATACTGACTCTTTATAATTAAAATATCTTTATCTTTTTTCTAATCGTTCTTGAACCAACCGAAATAAATCGTTTACCAACAAAACTATGTTTTCCTGCAACAACCGTTGACCTCTTCGCAGAGATAGCGCAATAAAGGCATTATGTCCCTGTCCAGATAGATTTAGATGTTAGAAGTAACGGTTCAGTCGGAAACTTCCGGAAAACTTCCAGTTGTGCTCCGTCTCCCTCTCTCCTTTCTGATGATCGTAAATTTGAACCCATCTATAAGTTACGACCCGCTCTTGCGAGGAGGAATGAAATAATTCAAACCTAGCCGCTACTTTCGAATAATGTTATCGGATTTAAGGCTCCGACTCCGAGAAAAGGACATATTTCCTAAGGAGCTTTATTACTTGAAAACTTTAACTGATTCCAGTGTGCTTGCTCGCTTTATTCCTTTTCTATTTTGTTTTTCTACGTAAAAGAAGAAGTATTAATCCACTGTCTTAGGCGATTTATCTTTAAAGGCGTCGTTTGCCTCTATAAAATGTTTGCATAAAAGGAAAATATTGTTTGGTTATAACATGTCTAAGTTATGATCATTATCATTGCCATTACTCGCTGACGAGTATTTGACACGCATCAGAAGATTGTTGCGCAAGGCGGTTTCATCCATGAGCTTTTCTGTGACTGAAAAGTCTGATATGTAATGTTATCTCTCTTCCGCACTCCGGACATTCAAATATCTCATTGCTTTGTTGCCTCTTTACTTTTTGGTTGTCGCTGTTAACTGAGTTTACAATTCTTCTCCATTGCGTTGTATTGTGCGCTGCTTCGTCCCACTGATTCTGTATGCTTATCCTCTTTAAGTTTTGGTGGAGAACATCCTTGTACCTTTTGAGTTGTCCATACCAGGTTTCCTCTTACCGTCTACAAGCTCACCGTAAAGAAGAAATTAAACGGTAAATATGTGTGGTAAAAAGACTTCGAAGTCTGTTGGTAGAATCGTAATAAACTCTAGATAAATCAATATCTAAAATAAGTCCTTTGTAAATACACGATCTGCAAAAGGTATTTCTCTTTGTTTCTACATTGTAAACGATAATAAAAAATAAACCAAATTTTTACGTTTTTTATACAGGAGTTTTATAATTTTTTTTAAACGTCCCAAAAGTATTAATTTTCACGACTTGATTGACAATTTAAAAACGGCAATTTAACGCCTAGGCATAAAAGTAAAGCACTTTTACGCCTAAGCATAAAAGTACTAAAATATGTTATTAAACTGACCCAAAGTGTCAAATTCAACGGGCGTAAAGCGTAACCATAGTTTTTCGATATACTAAAGGCTGGCAAAGGTTAGTCTTGGGTCGAAATTTCCGTATGTAAGAAGAGTACAATGCGTTTATAATGTACTGAACAAAGAGAGGACAGTAAACACGTTGCCAAACGTATGAAATAAACCGAGAAACTGTGCACATCGCTAAGAGACGCGGAAGGGGATAAGCAGATTTGTCGCAGTTGACCGGTCGACCCAATCAATACCTCTGTCAGTACTTAAAGTTCTAGGGAAAGGTGTACGTCATGCGTTCAGCTTCACTATTTAATTGCGTCTCGCGATACTTAATTTATTTATTTATTAACGAGTCGTTGTAATTTTCCCTATAGCTTGAATTTTTTTAAGTGCAAGCTAGAAACACTTGCATTTATGGAAAAAATAAGTGGAATTGAGTGGGTGTTCGATAGTGGTCGCGCTATTAGAGAAAAGGTCGCGCTATTCAGAAAAAAATCATAAGCCGGACAAGTCTATGCGCCCAGTTGTTTCGGCTGTAGGTTCTCCGACTTATAATTTGGCAAAATGGTTATCAAGGGAGTTCGAAAATTTACCTGATCATGAACCTTCTTTCTCAGTTAAAAATAATATTGAATTCATTAACAAAATTAAAGATATAACATTGCACGAAGGTGAAATTTTGGTCTCCTTTGATGTATCTTCGTTGTTCCCAAGTGTTCCAATTCCACATACTTTAGGCTACTTAAAGGAATTACTGAACGCAAATGGTCTCGACAACAAAACTGTGAGTGAATATATTGAGCTTACATCGTTATGTATGAAACAAAATTGTTTTCAATTTAATAACAACTTTTTTGAACAGCGGGAAGGTACAGAAATGGGTAATCCATTGTCTCCATTTTTGGCTAATTTATTCATGAGCAGGTTTGAAGTGGAGGCTAAGAATCAGTTTGGGTATTTTCCAAGAGTATGGTTTAGGTATGTGGATGATATTTTTGCTGTTTTTGACACACATTCAGACACTATAGATAATTTTATTTCTAAGTTAAATAATCGTTTTCCTTCCATTAAATTTACGCATGAAATTGAGAACAACGACAGATTACCATTTCTAGATGTATTAGTTATTAGAAATACTAATAATTGCCTGGCATTTGATATCTATAGGAAAAATACGACCACACGCAGATATATTCCTAATGAATCACATCATAGTGTTGAACATAAAATGGCTAGTTTAAATTTCTTAGTTCATAGGTTACTTAGTTTCCCACTTTCCAACGAAAGATATGAAATAGAAAGAGATTACATTAGGAATGTAGCTGAGTGTAATGGATATTCTCCTTCACTAGTTGATAAATTAATTAGAAAACGTAGGTATAGGTTAATGATTTCTGAAAATTCGACTTTTCAAGTGGAGAAAGATACGTCTAAATATTTTTCGATACCGTTTGATAGAGTTATCCCGTGGTCTAAAAGGAATTTTTAAGAATGTCAATTATAAACTTGTATATAGTGCTAATAATAAATTACAACAATTATTAGGTAATCCAAAGGATAAACACCTCCACTGGAAAGATCGGGTATTTATGAAATTTCTTGTAAAGATTGTAATCAGAAATATGTTGGGCAAACTAGAAGATCAATATTAACTAGATTTAAAGAACATTTAGCTCAGATAAGATACGGTAGACCGGATAAATCTTGCGTTGCCGAACATATTGTTGATAATGAACATTGTATAGATCTTAATAATTTAAAATTAATTAAACAAGTCTCAAATTACAGGCAATTAGATGCATATGAAAGCATCAGAATTAATAAATGTAAAGATAGTATGAACAGAGTCAACGGTCCAATTCCTTCAAGTTCTTTGTTCCTACTACTCTAGTGGCGGAAATCTAACTGTTACGCTCAGTTGGCTCTGACTCGGTTGGCTAGATTTTGCCACGCCCACTCGTTGCCCACTGAGCGTGCATATAAACGCTCAACTTGTAGATTGTACTTTAGTTTATAATCATCTGCTGATGATGCTAACATGGTTAGCGAAACGCGCGTCCAGTGTAAAAGTAAAAGTGTTTTGGTGTATTGTGGGGATTTAGTGTTTTTATTTTGCTGTGTAACACCAAAGGTTCCAACCCTCAACTGTACTCTGAATTCAAAAATTAAAAAAAAAAATATTTCTGCTGTATTTTCTTTGTAGACAGTATGTGAAAATCTTTATCAATAAAAAAATTACACCATTGCTGAAAATTGCTATGCTCTAAAAGTAAATGGATGGATTGTTTACAATTTTTGAATGGAAAAAACAACCTTATCGATTTTTTCTTTTGTAAACAGATTGTAAAATATCCGATCTTGAAAATAAAAAAAGGTTTCAATATCGAAAGTGGTTCTTGAGTTATGGCCTGTTATGTGTTAAAAAGTTGAGTTTTTAAATCATCGCGATTACTGACGTTTTCTCGTTATAAAATAAATGACACCCTAACGATATCCCTATATTCCATTTCAGATGCTCAGAAACATGTCTAATGATTTTATCTAGTTATCTCTTGAAAAAATGTCTTTTAGAAATAAGCGGTTTGCGATCGTGATTTTACTTTACTTGATAGGGAAAGGCGTACCGGCAACGCCGCAACAGCACACCGTCGCATTTCCCTCACTCCGGCTTAATAAGATCCCTATGCGATTGACTTCCACACGTGTAAATGCCGACCCAAAAGTAACAGTTGCCAGCACGGTATAATTACATACAAGGTGTTACTTATAAATCTTTTTATGTTATTTGGAACGTTTGAAATAGTTTAAAAAATTATTTGTGGAGTTTGAAAAAAATAGCATGTTCTATTCGGAGTAAAAATGACTTTTTGTGCCTCGGCTGTATGTCGTCAAATGTACAGCCCCGCCACAGAAAGTGTTCATTTTTACTTCTTATAAAACAATATACTATTTTTTAAGGGTATCATTATTTTCAGCGTCCAAAGTTTAACAGCACTGTGTTTCTATATTTAATTATAATGTCTGTCTTACGAGTCAGGTAAGATTTCGACAGATGACATCCAAAAAATGACAGAAAATACAATTAACCTATGAATTAAAATGACAGACATAACTGTCACTGTTCATGTTTTCTCTCGTTTGACTGTCTGGCCAAAAACTCTGTTTTTCCAGTCATTATTATAGATTCTATTAGAATCTCTCAAGTTGTAGTAATTCATAATCTAAAATTTACGATAGTTTTTGCAGAAAGAGACGAATTCGAAGTTTTCCGGAGTTTCCAACTGAATCGTCTCTTTTAACTCTAAATCTATCTGGACAGGGACATAATGCCCTTTTTGCGCTATCTCGGGCCAAAAAGGTTGTATGAAAACATCTATTTGTGTTGTTCAGTGATTTACTAGAGCAAATATAAATTCAGTTGACAAAACTAAAAAATAGTACTAAAATCAATTCATTTTCATTTTCTATCCACACGGAACCGACGAAAAACGTAACAATAATATGAAGATTATTCTCTTTTTTGTTCTGTTAAAATTATAGTGATAATAATTAATATAGTAATATATTTTTTTCTATTGCAGGATTAGAAATGAGGTACATGGTGGAGCTTGGTGTCCCCAAACGCAAGCTACACCAGACACCAGAGAATGGATTGAAATTGATCTAAAAACAATCCACGTGATCACGGCCACAGAAACCCAGGGTCGTTTTGGAAATGGTCAGGGTGTGGAGTTTGCAGAATCGTACATGTTGGAATATTTTAGGTAAGTTCAGTCCATATTTAAACACCATTTCGTTGAGTACTATGTAGTTTATGTTATAAATCTCTGTTTCCGCAAAAAAGTATGTGGGGAATATTCGTGAAGTTAGTAACGTTGTTGTCAAGTGACATATATATATATGGACATAACTATCTCGACAGTATAGTGCTTTGAATAAGAAGACTAAGGAAGGAGCATAATGCTATCCATGTATTCATGCATGGTGGGCGGAAAAAGCGCCATAAAAGCACTCTAGGGTGGGGATCCTTGACAGTTCTGTTTGACGATTCATTTGACACATTTGAATTTGATTTGAAATTTTGTGGATTTGTCAGTCTTTACGGAGCTTATTTTATGTTATTTATTATTTATTCTACTACTGATAGTTGTATAAAGGTAGTAAATCTAGATGGAAATTGTGGCAGAACTTAAATTAACAGTGACACTATCGCGATTTATCGAAAAAGACTCTAAAATAGTTGGTTGTGTAGCGTGCGGTAGATCTCGGCAAAAATTGAGTGAAATAATGGAACAACTTTTCGCTAGTAAGTGACTATATAATATACATACGTGTAGTAAACCGATCATTTATGAAATTCACTTAAATTAATTAAATTATATATTTTTCTTGCATTTTAGCTTTTATTTATTACTTGTCAAAGATTAGATGTCAAAGAATTTAGATACGTTAATTTGACTTACCTGCTTTCAGTAGCGTATCGGATGTTTGTGTTAATAAATACTTATTGTAACTTATCTATTTTTATTAGAATTATATATTTTTATAACAATTTTAATAACTACCAACATTTATTCAGAACGTAAAATAAAACAACAAATTAATGAGTCTACCCCACGTCTATCCTACATCTAGTTTTACATTTTTTAAATAAAATTAGAATGACACTGATAAACCGGAATTTAAGTCGGCCATATTTGAGGCCCATCGCGGTGTACCTAAGATTTTTGATATGCTCTTTCCTTAGTCTTCTTATTCAAAAAGGTATAGTGTGAAGTCATAGATAAAGGAAATAAGTTTAGATTGGAATGCTCGGCTTACCGCCAAAACTGTTTTGGAGCGCATACGTTGTAGGGCGCTGCTATAGCGGTTGCTAAGAACAGTCGCAAACAAGAACAGAAATAATTTTCTCTTGTCAAAGTCAGAATCTTCAAAATGTAAAATCTTGAAAAAATACCGAAAAGCTTTTAAAGCATCCATTTTCAAAGTAATTATTGCTATCTTGTGACTGTAATTTAAATTTTATTTACTCAAACCAGTGATAATTGTGAAAAAGTGGCATTAAAAGCTTAAAAAGCTGTGTAAACTGTGAACTGCAAAAAACATCGTGGATCGTGGCTAGTGTTGGGGCTGGTCAATTGACCACTTCTTATTTGACCAGTCAAATTCGATTAAATAACATCTTACAATAATTGTAGAATGTTATATATCATTATTTAATAATAATATGGTATTTTATAATTATTATGGGTTTGTGATGTCCAATTTACTTATAACCGTCTTCAAGGAATACGATACTTAGCGATTCGGAGAATCTCAATCAAAATATCGAAAAAAATAACAACTGCATCAGTAATAAGAAGAATAATTAATTGATATGGTCTGTACGGACACGCACAATGCAGCATATTTACTCGATCCTAGATATAAAGGTGATAATCTAGCTCCAGAAGAACACTAACACGCGACTACGTAGATCGTACAACTTGGTATCAATGAATCTGAAATTGAAATACTTGGAGAGATATCAAATTTTAGAACAGCATCAAATGCATTCAATAATCGAATAATATGGACAGCCATAAAAAGTATCAAATCAGTATGTAAAACATCGTTAGATATTACACCATCAACTTGGTGGGACAGTTGGCAGAATAAATCGGTACTTCACAATGTTGCAACAAAATTACTAAGAATGGCAGCCCCCTCAGCTACTTGCGAACGAAACTGTCAGCTAGTGGAATTGTTCATAATAAATTAAGAAACAGGTTGACCGCTACAATATATGGTAAACTTGTTTATGTTAAATATAATTTAAATATAATAAACAAAAATGAAAGGGTTACTGACCTCAATGTAAGTTCATCTTCTGAAGCTGACATGTCTTCGTCTTCAGACATCGACATCTATGACATCGACTACGAAGATGAAGATAAGAACTTACCACTGTCTATTAATGTCAATTAATTGTTTGTTTTGAATTAGAATAAACGTATTTTTAAAATAACTTTTAACTGTTCTCTGTTTATTTTAAGTTAAAATAGAAATATGTTATTGGTAATTTTCTAATTTTATTTTTTTTTATTTAAAAAGGAAATGTTCTTTATTTATATATTATTTTAATGATTATGTGAAATGAAATATTAATTTGTTTTTATTTGTTTCATTGTACTTTTAAAATTATTTTTTTTTGACTGGTCAATTGACGGGTCAATTGACGGAAAAAAAATTGACAGGTCAAATCCAGAACCCTAATCGTGGCATAACATGGCATTTCATAGGTATTTCATACATGTCCTCATATAAAATAAAGTTTCTTGTATGCAACAAACTGTATTTTATTTAAATTAGAAGAAAATAATAATAAATTGGAATAAATAATATTTGGCGACATAATTCCGGAAAAAGCGTAACCGCTCCGAAATTATCAAAAGTTTTGGAGAGCGACCGTTCGTTGTAAGAATAGCTCCAAATAGTATTTACATTTTCTTTTCAGGCACTTTCCAATCTAAACTTATTTCTTTTATCAATGGTGTATGTTAAACGTAATGATGGATAACCTATATTTCTCAAATTATTGAAGAATTTTTTGGCGTTGAGTTTTTAATAAATCCCCAGCCAATCCAAAACCCATGTTGACAATTATTTGTTTTTCTAATTCTAGTTTTTTTTCCAGACCATCTCTAAAAAAATGGATCCGATACCGCACCAAAAACAACGGAGAACTCCTCAAAGGCAACATCAACACCTACCTAGAACACAAAACCATCCTAGACCCACCGATTTGGGCGACCAAAATCAGATTCCTCCCATACAGCTCACACAAACGAACAGTTTGCATGAGAGTTGAAGTCTACGGCTGCAAATACACCGAAGGAGTAACATCTTACTCCATGCCTCAAGGTGACAAAAAAGGAAGCAGCTGGGAGCTCTACGACTTCACCTATGACGGTCATTGGGATGGTGAGAAGCTCAAGTCTGGACTAGGTCAGTTAACTGACGGTTTAATTGCTCCGGAGGATTTTAAGCTAGCTTTCCATCAGGAAAACACTCAGGGATGGGTGGGATGGAAGAACGATACCAGGGAAGGCAAACCGATAGAGATAGTGTTTGAGTTTGATAGGATTCGCGAGTTTACCGCAGTGCATTTGTATACCAACAACCAGTTCACTCGTGACGTGCAGGTTTTTAGTGAGGCGCGCGTTTTTTTCAGTGTGGCTGGTAAAAGATACAAGGGTGAACCGATAACTTTCGATTACATGGAAGACCGAATATTCGAAACTCCCAGAAATGTCTCTATCAAACTCCATCACAGAGTGGGACGCTTCGTGAAACTCCAACTGTTCTTCGCTTCAAAATGGATTCTTATCAGTGAAATAGCTTTTGACAGTTCGCCAACAACGGGTAATTTTACGGAAGAGGAGGAGTTAGATAATAATATACAGGGTGATCAGACTGTGGTATCGGGACCGGAGAATAAGAACCCGATAAGTGCGGTTTCGAGTACCGGAGGGCAGTATTTGGGGATTATCGTGGGGATTTTGGCGGTGGCTGTGGTGTTTATGATCGTCGTGGTGTTGTATATAGTGCACCAGCAGAGGAAGTACAAGAGTTCGCCGAGGCCCAGTCAGATACCAGATAAGGCGGCTCTGTATAGGACACCATCGCTAGGTATGATTTTATTTTATTTACATACTTAGTACCGTATGATCTAAAATAACGGCGTCAGCGATGGCTATATCATTTTATATCGGAAATGTCATCGATCGTCATCTCCCAGTCAACTGGACGTCGGTTTTTCTCGATCATACGGTATTATAGCTGTATAATGGTTTTCTAAACCTATTTAGAAGTACTTTTAAATTTTTGAAAGATCTACCTACCATCTATTCCTCTATTCTACCTTATAAGAGTAATACTACCTTATACAGAGTGTCTGTAAATTTATATTAAATAATTACTAGCTTTAAATGGCAATAACTTGTTTAATTTAAATGGAAGACCCTGTATATTTTACGAGAATCAGATGCACAATTTAATTGTCTATAAAATTGTATTAAACCATTTTTAGCTATCTGTTCAAATTTTCGTAGAAAATGCATTTTCTTATAATTTAGACCTCATCTATCATTATACCCATGGGATATTGACATTTTAGATTTTATTAAAGATGTAACAAATTTTTAAAGAGTACAGATACTAATGTTGTCGATAGAGTTCGCTCATTTCGTTCAAAAATAAAAAACTGTTTAAATATTTTTTGTTAAAGAGGACCAATTAATACGATCCCAGTGTTTAAACTACCGACATTAACTGACTGTTTACGTTGATTAATATAATAGTTGCTCCAAATACTAAAAAACTCAATTTTGTATGTGTATTAAACAGAGTAGTTAGTATTAGTTATAAGATGTTACTTCCTCATAAATTTTGTTTCATTTTTTGACGAATGCTTATTTATACCAACAGAAACGTTCATTTTTATAACTTATTATTATATTGATTTTTTTTCTGAGTCAAAATCACATTTATTTAAAATAATTTATTAATTAAAATAATTAAATATGTAATTAACTAATTTTTGGGCGGAAATAATGGTGGTAAATAAGAATTAGTATACTCTTTTACAGAGATTTAAATAGTTTTCTTTTTGTAAACAAATGGGATTGCAATATTATTACTTTTACCACATGGTAGGTACATGTTATGTGGCTTTAAAAAAATCTAAAATGTCAATATTCCATGGGTATAATGATAAATGAGGTCTAAATTATAAGAAAATGCATTTTCTACGAAAACTTGAAGTGATAGGTAAAAATGGTTTTGATAGACAATTAAATTGTGCATTTGATTCACGTAAAATATACAGGATGTTCCATTTTAATTAAACAAGTTATTACCGTTTAAAGCTAGTAGTTATTGAACATAAATTTTTCGACACTCTGTATAAGGTAGTATAATTTTTATTATCGCAACACAATATCTGATCAATAAATAATCTCCAGTAAATATTTAGTCTTAAAAACTTTTATACACTTGGAGAAATGAAGCCTTAAATTTTTTACTGCAATTTCACAAAATTTAAAATATTTCAAAAACGGCAAGGTTTAAGTATGATGAACCTTAATCAAATTTACATTTGTTTCAATCATAGAATCTAAAAACAGAATAATATACAGGGTGTTCCATTTAAAAAAATGAAACTATAATATTTTTTACTTATTTGGGACACTTTGTATCTTGTAAAAATATTTTTAAATTGTAGCTTTAATAGTCCTTCAACGAACCCAGAACTTATAATTTGTAAAAATCTAAGCGTTTAGCTACAATACTCCGTGTCGCATGTGGTGAACAACCCTGTATAATATACAGGGTGTCCCAGAAATAAGTGCAAGTATTTTAAGGGGTGGTAGATCTCGATAAAAGAAACGTATTTTCTCTTTATCGTTTTTCAAATAACTCCAAAATATCGGAGTTATTTTACTTTGAAAATTTCTAAAAAAATGATTTTTTGCTAAAATTTTCAGAACCACTGGATCTTTTCTGGATTTGCTTTCTTTTAAATTTAATCTAATACTTATGTTGTCATATTATCAAGAAATTATGTTTTTACTAAAAAAATTTCCAAAAAATTTCGAATTCTGATTTTTTTTTCGCGAAAAAAACCTGATGGGCGTGTTTATGGGGTTGAACTATACTACCAGTTAAAATACTTGCACTTATTTCTGGGACACCCTGTATATTGTTTTTAGTATGGAGGAGATGGATTAAAAGGCAAGGTTGAGCCTCGAAAATGGCTGGCAAATTTTTAAACGAATTTCGGTGATAAGACGTCATGGAACAGCCTATTAAAATGTTGAACTTAGTTTAAGTTCCTGAACGCAGTTTGTATAACAACGGATCTTAATAATTAAGGCATCGTTCAGACAAATTATTTGTCTGAACGATACCGCCAAATATAGTGCCGAAATTATAAACCCTCAATCAGTCCAATTGACTTTGGAAATACTATACCTGGTCAAAGTTTACACCTGGTACTCTTTCTCTAGTTCTGATGTTTCTGATCTTGTTTTTGTTAAGATGCTTCTTAGAATAGCTCCAGACCACAGTTTAGTTGTTAATATTCGGTGTCCAGACCTAATAGCAATTAAAGTTCGAAGAAAGATTTAAAGTTATCAAGCGATATGTTGCTCGGGTGTCGAGTTGATATCGTGTTAGAGTAACCATTATGAAGCAAATCCGTTTGAATATTATTTAGTTAAACCTTAAATAATGCTTGGTCACTGGCTATGATGTTTGGCTTGTGATATATAATATTTTGACAATTTCTATTTTGTACATAAAAGCATCGAATTTTAAATTGTACCTAAATAACCCTTTTTTAACCAAATAACTTCTTCCTTTCAGGTCGACTCACCACCTCCACCGATTACGAGGACGTGCGCAACCCCGAGTACGCCGTACCGCTCCACCAGAGCAGCCAGCGTTGCCGCACTCCACCCAACCTCCAAAACTTCTTCCCCAAGGCGCCGTCGTTACCGCCGCCCTCCGAGCAGTACTACGCCGCCACCGAGATCTTCCGGCAGGGGACAGGACCGGTGCAGTTCAAGCCGCCCCCGCCGCCGCTGAACACGCCGCCACCCATGCGGCACCAGATGCCGCCCCAGGGGCGGTACGGTAGCGGCGGCGGTAATAGGACGTTTGTGGGTCCGTAATGTGTGACGGTCTTCTCTCTGTGATATTTTGAGGTGGGTACTTAGTGGTTTTATTTTTGTTTATGTAAATCAGCCAATTGTGTGAAATAAATTGTATTAGACACACTCACCTTAAAATTTTGATGAATTTTAAAGTTTTATACAGGGTGAGTTTCCTACGATGTTCTCTATGGGTATCTCGGAAACTACTGGAGATAGAGAGCCGGTTAAATGGGGAAAGCTTTTTATGATTGCAAATTGCAGTTTTGTGGGGTCATAAATATGCACCTTTCAGATTTTTGAAAAAGTGCATGGCTTACTAGATATTTCGAAAAAAACAAATTTTACCTATTTTGAAAATTGTCCCTAATTCCATTATAATCTATTTTAGACAAAAGGTTTTCAGATAAAAGTTGTAGTGAAATTGTTTAAAAATTATAAGAATTGGCTATAACTCAGTAATTTTTGAAGAAAACATATTATAGCTTATATCGCAGAAAAGCTTTAAAAAGGGCGCTTTTTATGAAGTCATGGCCAACTATAGTTTCCATTTAAAAAAACATATGTTTGTGTCATATGTCAAAAATGACAGGCATTAGAGAAAAACGGAGGACACAATCTCATTAAGGATGTGGTTATCTACAACTTTTATCTGAAAACTTTTTGCCTAAAATAGCTTATAATAGAATTAGGGACAATTTTTAAAATAGCCGAAATTTGTTTTTTTCGAAATATTTAGTAAGCCATGAACTTTTTCAAAAAACTGAAAGGCGCATGTTTATGACCCCACAAAACTGCAATTCTTTCCCCATTTAACCGACTCTCTATCTCCAGTAGTTTCCGAGATACCCATATAGAACATCGTAGGAAACTCACCCTGTATATTTTCTTCTAGTACAGTGGGCCAATTTTAATGATTTTTTAAGCAATTTGTAGCTAAATATTTGACTTTTTAATGTCCCTTTCTAAATTAAAAACGAAAATTTCCATCTGTCAATTATACGAGGGAAAACAAAATGTTGATATTTTGGAGAAAGTTTGAAACACCCTTTGGAGTACGTTAATAAAGCAAACAATTTAAAAATCACTTTATCGTCTAGATTAGAGGTGGGCAAAGATTGAAGAGTCGTTCTTGAGATTCTTGTTTTTATGAAACGTAACTTGTGCATGTGGTTCGTTCAAATGAACGAATCGTAGGAGTCGATTCAATATGAGAAATTGAATCGTCTGATTCGATTCACTAAAAAGAATCGTAATGCCCATCACTACAACACACCACCAAAATCGCTATTCCCGTTTTTTAGAAAACCATGCGAGATTCCTCAGATACTACAACTTTTCGTAGATTTTTATAGTATGTCACCATAAATAATTTAGTTTGGCTAAGGCATACACGCAAAATTTTGCTTAAGGACGTCTATTTTGAAAACGTTACAAGAGACAAGTGCTACGCGGACAAATTCTTGAACGTATGATTTGAAATGCATATTTTCGAGTTATTTACGTGTGGCGTGCCTAATGCCTCTATAGGACAAGCGCTCATAAATTACAAATAATAAAGTGTGTATTAAAGAAGACGAAAGATGTACCCAGAGTGCATTAAATCCAACAGATGGAACGTTGAAAATTAATGTATTTTGAATTTCGCTAAATATATATCTTCGTTCAGTTTAACTAACATATTATAGTATAGTATATTTCGACGTGGCGAATGAATGCCTTTGCTCTTGCTAGAGTATGTGCCTACTGCTAATCAACTTTACGTAAGATATTATACATCAATCACGAAATATGTAATATTTTACATGTATCAAACAAAACCTCTACAATATCCACTAGTCCTGTCCTCTGCAGATGTGATCTCAGGCTGCAGTGGTCCGTGTATAATGGTTCAAGTCTCTTCCTTGGTTATCTTCCTTAGTTAAGTTAAGTTAGATATTAAGCAGATATTACGAGACTAAGCCGAATACAATAAATATGAAGTTTTATCCAAGAATTAAATTTCATTAGAATTAATACAGGGTGGCCCATCGAAAACGTTCCGCAAGGCATAACGGCCAGGGTAATTTTTTTTAGAAAATTCAAAAACACGTCAATTTTGTTTGTGAGGGGGACAACTTTTGCCTTAAAAATTATTGCAAAATCTTCAACCCTCTATGCGGGGGTGTCATCCCCCGATTTTTTTCAAATGGGAAGGGGGGTCAAGGGTTTTTTTGAAAAGGGCTTTCTATTCTCTATACTCTCCTGCTTCGTTTTTGAAGATCGGTCGAGTCGTTGGGAAAATATGAAGGATTGAAATTTGAACAGTTTTTAAACATTTATCAGAGTAAATGATAAGGATAAATTCCTTCGACCAATTTGCTGTTTTTTCTTATTATTTCTAGATGTTTGCAATCGGGTTGCGCAGATATTCAATTAACGCCATCCTGACAAACACCTTTATGGCAAAATTGTTCGCCAGCCCATTATGAAGATTATTATAGGCATTATTATGAGTTATTTATTTATTAATGTACATGTTACAACAAATTAGAGGGTGCTAGTAATGCACAAACTAATAATCACAGAATTTGTCGTTTGTTCTTCATCCAGGCAAGAAATAGCTTGCTAACATAAACATCAGTGGCAAAATATGTCTTTTTGCGGACGACACTAGCTTCACTTGGAGCAACAAGGACATCACGGCACTTCATAGGATTATATCAAATGACTTAATCACCATTAAATCTTGGTGCGATTCGAACCTCCTGAGTCTCAACATTTCTAAAACTAAAGCTTTGTCGTATACAAAGAGGTTAGAAGAGAAAGAGGTAACAAATGCTCTATTTTATAATGCGCGAAGGCTGCCTGTTTTTCCGATCTGGGTTCCTTTGGTGGGGGTCACGCCAGGAGCGGATTTAGAAATTTTTAAGTGAATAATGATATACATCTAATATATAAAATTCTCGTGTCACAGTTTTTATTACCTTAATCCTTCAAAACGGCTTGACCGATTTTGATGAAATTTTATATGTATAATCAGTGGATATGAGACTAGGTTGTTATCGATTTTTTATACCCCTAAGTGATAAGGGTGACCCAAGAAAAAAAAAAATTTTTTTACTTTTTTGAAAAAAAAATTATTTTAATTTTTTTATGATTTGGCATTATAAAATACATACAACCCTAAATTTTCACCCTTCTACCACCAACACCTATTTTGTAATAGGGGTTGTTTTTTTTAATTTTTTTTATTACCTTACTCCTCCGAAACGGCTTGACCGGTTTTGATGAAATTTTATATGTATAATCAGTGGGTCTGAGACTAGGTTATCGATTTGGTGGCCCAAAAAAAAATATTTTTTTTTAATTTTTTGGAATTTTTTTTATTTCTATTTTTTTATGATTTGGCAATTAATACATTTGGCAATTAATACATTAATACAATTTGGCAAAAATACATACAACCCTAAATTTTCTTTTTCTACCATCAACCGCTCTTTTTTAATAGGGGATGTTTTTTTTAATTTTTTGTTACCTTACTCCTCCGAAACGGCCTGACTGGGCCTGACCGAGTTTGATGAAATTTTATATATATATATATATATATATATATATATATATATTCAGTAGGTCTGAGGGTAGGTTATTATCTATTTTTTATACCCCTAAGGCGCGGTATTTTCAGGTATAAATAAATAACTTTTATCTAACAAATAACAATCTTAAAGATAAAACAATTGGTAGAAGATACACGTTTTTACACGCTATCCGTCAAATAAAATATATAACACGCTATCTGTACCTGAAAATACCGGGGGTAAGTGATAAGGGTGATCCAAGTCCACCGGCCAAATCTTCTGGTGTATGGGTGGCTACTCGTTTTTTAGACCAATCTAATCTGACAGATCAAGTCTGCTCTGATTTGGCCTGTGACAGGCTTGGTCCGCCAATGGCTTGGCCTGCTACAGACTTGGTCCGGCACACAAACACAAAGTTCTTATCCGCAGACCAAGTCTGCAGGCCAAATCTTCTGGTGTAGGACGCTAATAAGCAAATTTAATTGTAGAATAGGACTGCAGAAAAACCACCTTATGATATTAAAAATTCTTTATTTAAAACTATTTAAATAAAAATAATTCTACAATGGGCTATAAAATATAAAATAACACAATATTAATCACAAAAATAGTATATTGTTTTATTAGGAATAAAAATGACACTTTTCGTGGCGAGGCTGTACGTTTACATACAGGCGAGGCACAAAAAGTAATTTTTACTCCGAATAGAACATGCTATTTTTTTCCAAACGCCACAAATAATTTTTTAAACAATTTCAAACGTTCCAAATGATATAAAAAGATTTAAAAGTAATACCTTGTATATAATTATATATCGAGAAACTATGGTTACCCTCCTTGAATTTGACACTTTATGTCAGTTTAATAATATATTTTCGCACTTGTATGCTTGGGCGTAAAAGTGTTTTACTTTTATATCTAGGCAGTAAAATTACTTTTTTACATTGTCAATCACGTCGCAAAAACTAATACTTTTGTGACGTGTGAAAAAAATAGTATATTGTTTTATTAGGAATAAAAATGACACTTTTTGTGGCGAGGCTGAACGTTTACATACAGGCGAGGCACAAAAAGTCATTTTTACTCTGAATAGAACATGCTATTTTAGAAACGCTACAGATAATTTTTAAACAATTTCAAACGTTCCAAATAATATAAAAAGATTTGATGTGTATAATTATATTGTAATACCTTGTATATAATTATATATCGAGAAACTATGGTTACGCTCGTTGAATTTGACACTTTATGTCAGTTTAATAATATATTTTCGCACTGCTTGGGCATAAAAGTGCTTTAATTTTATGCCTAGGCAGTAAAATTACTTTTTTATATTGTCAGTCACGTTGTAAAAACTAATACTTTTTTGACGTTTGAAAAAAAAAATATATTTTTACAGAATTACAAAATATTATTGTCCCTTAAATAATACTAACTTATTATAACTAGACCGTATACTTCTACTTTTGTCAAACAGACTTTTGTTATAATGAT